CACTCTCCCGGACGGACGTCCCGCACTCTCCCGAGGGAAGTCCCGCACAGCGTCCTGCACTCTCCCGCAGAACGTCCCTCGAAAATTGATGCGTATTTCGTGGCCTGTGCTGTACCTACCAAAACACTTGAGTTCATACTGTCAAAATGGAATGGCTTTGAACAGGTGTTAATTGAGTTAATCCAATCAAATCCAACAGCCAATCAGCAAGAAGAAAAGATTAGGCTGCGTCAGGTTCATGCTTGCATGCCCATATATGGGCATGCCGCCGAATTTCTTTCTTATTACGTCACGCGCGTACGCCCCCGCACAGTACTTTCCTATGGGGACCGCTAAAAAAGCAAATAAAACGATTGTAAAAGCTTGTATCACAAAATTTAAAAAACGCCTAGGGGTATTTGCCCACTGCTCGGTTGGGTTAAGGCGGCCTAGGCTGATATTCATGTTCGAGTTCCGCCGTGTGTCCGCACGATTGCCACAAACATGTTTCGAACCCGAATCATGTTCCACCATGTTCGATATGACGTCATTCGAATAGAACGTGTGTTCGAATTCGGGGTTACCGGCGGTCATTTGTATGTTTCCCCTGTAAACCCGCGTTGTTACGCATTTTATTCACGGAGTATGACTTAAACGGCTTTACGCCCAGCTGAAAACAACATAATTCATCTTTAGAGTAATCCATGTTTACGTATTATCACTTTTTTATCAAAATTGTCCGAGGCTATTTTGCATATAAGTCGAAATTTTTTAACTGTGGCGATTATTTAACAAAAAATGACAGAAAAATAGCCGTTTCTGTCGTTTTTGGCCCAAAAAAAACAATGTAACTGTCATTTAAAACAAAATAGCCTCGGACAAAAATAATAAATAGGGGGTTGGCTTTCTACTTGCAAAATATCATGATGAAAGGTGTTGTTACCGCTTGGGCGTAAAGCCATGAAGTAAACAGCTTTTTTTTAACCAAAATGTTGATTTTTAACCCAAAAATTCAGAAGTAGTAAAACAAAATAACCTTTATTCAATGTGTTTCAAGTACTACTAGAACTGTGTGAAGTTAAGTTGTGATGCGACCAAGCTATCAAAAGTTACAGCCATATGTATGAAATACTAATTATAGTTGGCCATAGGCTGCCTTAACCCAACCGAGTGTACCTCCATACCAAATTTCAGGACCTTAGGCCCTAAAATGAAGAAGCTGAATCCATTTAAAGAAATGGCAGGAGGAGAAGGAGGAGGAGGAGGAGAAGAAGAAGAAACATCAGAAAAAGCAATATGGTTTCACCACACCACTTCGTGGTGTGGTGAACCCATAACAATTTTGAGAGAAAAGTGCTGACACCCACCTCCTTCAGCGCGGGAAAGATTTGAGGAGTTTCTCCTCCTGATTCTCCTGACTGCCCTCTGATTGGCTGTTCTGCACGTGGTCACCGCGTGATTCGAGCATGATTTCGCAACGCTCCAGCGTTAAAGGCCAAAACAAATTAAAGCTCTGTTCCCATCACCTGCATAAACTCGGTTTAGCTAAAAAAATTGGGGTCGTGTGGCCTATTAAACGACTCGGAACCAAGAGGTACCGGATTCCAGGACTGACATGCAACCGATCTTGTGCCCTTGGAAAAAAGCATTTTACACGGCTTTTCTCAGTATTGTCCTGTCCTGTATTTGTCCTCTGCGTTGGTGGCGGCAAAACATGAATTGATATAACTTGAGTGTGCCGTCACCATGTCTAGTCATGAGACGTTGAAATATTATTAAAAAAATCCCATTTCTATTTAAAAAATCTGATTTATTGTTTTCTTGTTTCCTTTTATGGCAGCTATGGAGTGTCCAGCAAACAGTACGTTCTCTCCGTGTGCACATGCGTGTCCTGCAACGTGCACGGACCGCAACGCTCCCAACAACTGCCAGCAGAAATGTGTGGAAGGCTGCGACTGTGATCCTGGCTTCGTACTGAGTGGACAAAACTGCGTCCCAGAGGAACAGTGTGGTTGCGCCCACGACGACGGACGCTACTTTGTGGTAAGTAACAATATTCAATATTTATGTATCTGGCAACAACTTGTTTCTGTACTAAAGTATCAAATGTTCCCTATGTCTAAGAATAGAAATAGTTCAGACATGTCTCTGTATCAAAAAAAATACTGTTTGTCTTTTCAAGCTACTTGCAAGTACTACTGAACATGTAAACCATATGTAAATATGAAGAGAGGACGTATTGCTATGTTACCATGTAACTGATTTACTCTTTCGATTGGAATAATTTTCTGTGTTTAGAGGTTTCTCTTAAGCCTTGCTTCACAGTCACTATGTATGTCCTCATTCGGTATTTGGATTATTATCTGTAAACTTACCGTAAAAACAAAAGAAAACTACCTTTCTCTTTCTGAGGTCGTCTTGCCTTCCCCCTCAATAAATCTCTCTGTGCATTATATAAAAGTTAAAAAGTTTTTATTTCAATTCACTTGTAACAAGACAATACATTGGCCACCCAGGCAGGAATCTTTTTGAAAACCGCCAATAGGCGAGATGTGTTTTTTTCTGGTTATATAAACAAACAAACAAACAAACAAACAAACAAACAAACAAGCAGCATGGCTGATTCCGGGTGCCCAAAGATACAACAATTAAGCATAACAATGAATTATATCAATACAATAAGCTAACAAGTACAACATTAAGATCAATCAATTAACAACATTTAAAAAGTTAAAGAGCCTAGCCAAGTAACGCATAGGGATTCGCCCATCTTCGTTTTCAATAGCCACACAACAGTACAATCACTACGTAGGGGGCTAGTCCGCTGGTAGTGGTGTGTGTATTTAACTTCCATCTTTCCCAAATGCTGAGTGCTAAGCAGAGAAAGCAGTATATACCAAGTCTTTAGTATGATTCGGCCGGGGATCAAACCTACGACCTACCGAATGCAAATGAGCACTCTACCCAATAATCCATTCATTGCACCGGTTGTGGTATATAATGATCCTATTATTATTATTTCTTTAGCTGGGAGAACGTTGGGCAGAAGAAGGCCAGGAGTGTGTCTGTGAAGAAGGGAATACGATTACTTGTGGTAAGAAATGTACACAGTTTAACCCCCATTCTTTTTCTCATTTTGTAAGTGCATTGTTTTATATGTTTACTGATATTTCATCTTCTTGTTCTTCTTCTTGATCAATGACCTGAAGCAGACGTCTCTTACCATGGTAACCGGTGTTGGGTTACATAATGTTGCAAGTGCCATGCAGAACTTAGTTTAAGAAGGGTTGCATGTTCACCATATATATGAATGAGTATTTGAGTAGGAATAAACAAAGCTTGTTAAGCTGGGCCATTTAAAGGTATAATGCCTTAAATTTATGAAATGTTCTAGTTTCATTTATATTTTGTCGTACTTGAGCTTTCTAGGTGAACTAAAACTTAATTTTTGACCACAGAGCTCGACAGGTGCCTCGACGTTGACTGTGGAGACAAGAAACGGGAATGCGTGAATGTTCCGGGCGGGTATGAGTGCCAATGCAGGCAACCCACCTACAAGGAAATTGCTGGGAAGTGCAGAGGTGGGGTATTATTGTACCAATACCTTCATTTGATTTGATTTGGCTTGATTTCCTACCCAGAGGCTATTTGAAAGTGCTAGCCCTGGTAGCTGGACACTATTAATATATGGTAATAACAGTTACAATGCCCATTCAAATATAATGCAGGTGACTTACAATGCTCAAACTTTGCTTAGATTGTAACGATTTTTGTTGCCATTCACAAAAGTACAACGTTGTATGTGGTTGGGCGGCATAGCATAAGAAGTTATAAATGTATTGTTATGATGTTGATAATGTAATTTTATCTTGACACATCCCATTCCAAGCAATGATACGATTTGGTGCTTTATACGGGCTTTTGGTACTTTTTTTTAGTAGGGGGGTATCTCGTTTATTGTATGATATTTTGTCTTAAGAATAACCTGTACCTAAACTAGACTAGAGTCTAAAACTCTTATATATGTGGCACAAGTTTACATATTGTAAGACCGCAATATAGTCATAGTTTAGGCTTTATCACTGCAATTTTTCATGAATTTTTTAATTTTAGGTTTTCTAACTTACACCGTGGCAACACGCATGCTGTCGCATGACTTTTACGACGAGCTGTACGACACAAACTCCAAAGAGTTTAGATCGCTTGTGCAGGAACTCAGGACAGTGGTAGGTTTTGAGACCATTGTTACTGACCTAAAGAACTGTTTTGAAACTATTTACGAATCAAATATTGTAGGATGCTTATCGTTAAATGAGAATTAATTATTTTTGCTTTAGTATGCCGCATAAACTAAACAATGTAAACTTGTAAATGTATAATCTTTATAATTATATTGTATTATTGTAAATGGCCTCGCAACTCAGCCTTTTAATACGGTTGCCAGGGGGCATGGTACGTATTGCTGCTTTTAAGAGCTGTCAAAAACAGGAAGTCTGTATACTACTACTACTACTACTACCTTTACTACTACTATTATTATTATTACTTCTACTACTACTACTACTACTACTACTACTACTACTACTACTACTACTACTACTACTATTACTACAACAACAACTACTACTACTACTACTACTACTACTAGTATTACTATTACTACTACTACTATTACTACAACTACAACCACTACTACTACTACTACTACTACTACTACTACTGCTGCTGCTACTACTGCTGCTGCTACTGCTACTGCTGCTACTATTCACGGAGACTCATTTCTTCCCAGCTACGAGACCTCTATGCCGAAGGAACGCTGACCAAAGACGAGTTTCTCGACATGGACATCCGCACGTTCCTACCGGGAAGTATCATCGCCCACTACAAGATCTTCCTGCCGGACGACAGCCCCTTGTTCCTGAGAGCTGGAGACGACGTGCCGTACATTCTGCAGGAGACCCTGAAGGAACGGGCCAAGGCTCACAACGGGACACATCTGCTCATAGAACACGAACAGGGACACCAGGTTTCAGGTACGTCTTTAAAACAAGAACATTGAAGCTCGACTTAAGCAGGCTGGGATAATACTCTCTCTCTCTCTCTCTCACTCAATCCAGGGCATCATCGCTCCTACGGAGGAACCCCTCCCTTGACTCGCTCTACTCTCGTATCAGCCTGGTATTGGGGCATGCATGGCCCAGGTGTTGCACAAGACTATCCCTCCACCTCGTGCAGGGCCACCCTCCACGTCTCTTTCATTCTCGGGGTGACTCAGTGACTATAAGTGTCCACTTGTTGCCTTGTAGTCTCGCTAGGATAATGCTAACCTTTCCCAAATTTGGCTGTTTATCATATTACCATCTAATAAACCGTCAAGTTCGCTTTGCATGTAACAGCCATGATTCCTTTTTGCGTCCCAATCATCAATACAAAACTTTCAAGTTCCATTTCGACAACCCATGGTTATGACTATGTTTTTTTTTTATATTGGTACATGCAGCCTGTTAATACATTAATGAAATTATCATTATGGAGCATTAGTAGGGAGTATCATGACAATTTTTGCAAATGTGAATTATCCCTTGAACCATCACATTTTCATTCAATACGTATGTGACAATATTAGTATTGTTAGTTAACAGATTTTATATTATATATAGAAACACTTTACATTTGGAACCTCATTTGTCACTATGATGTAACATTCCCTATGTATATACAATTGCACTACGTTCGGAAATGCATTGTTAACAGTAAAAACTAGCTACAGTGCACTGTGAACCAAGTAAAAGTGCACTATGAACCATGTAACACATTTAGTGCACTAAGCACCAAGTAACATCTAGCGTCAGTGTACAGTAAATAAGTCAGAATTGCCCTGATGAAGATGACAGAAGGTCATCGAAACGTCGACTGGTAAAACAATGGTTGTGATCAAAGAACTTGATGAAATACCTGATGAAATAATTTACGGACGTTTGCATTTTGTTTAGATTATGATGAGTGCGCGTCATCAGAGGACAACCACTGCTCGCCTTTCGCCACGTGTCAAAACATCATCGGGCACTACAAGTGCGCTTGCCAGGATGGGTTTGAGGACATATCAGCGGACTATGACGACCCACCAGGCCATGTGTGCAAAGAAGGTACGGCAACTGTAGTTATTTAAAAGAACAGTGTCCAACTTTATCGAGTTAAAAATACAAATTAAAAATAAAAAGACATGGTTACAGGCTTTTTGCCATCAGTACTGACCTCATTTGACGTTTCTATTTTTCCCCCTTCTTGACCTTCTAGTTACGGTGACGACCTCTCCAGTCATGTGGGTGGTCTTGGCTGTGGGCTTGGCTCTTCTGGCTGCAGTTCTCATACTGTTCGCTTGGCGCGTTCGTCTGGGGCGAGCAGAGAACCACAAGGACGTAGAAGGTGTGTGTTTAAAGTGCTCATGACACCAAAAAATTACCTTAGCTGATTGTAATTGACATAACTAGTATTACCTGGCTAACAGGCACATTTACAATAAATATGCACGGTTCTCTTGTTATATTCGAAATTCTAACGCCTTACCTTGGAAAAGTCAGCACAAGCTAGTACTGGCGGGTGATTTGCATGTCTACGTTTTATTTTTGCATGTTTTTATTTTTCCTGAGCTGACGTCATCAAGTGATGTCAGCTCAGGAAAAAGCACAGAAATGCAAAAATAAAACATAGAGATGCAATAGACATGCCCGAAGTGGGCGATTGGGAAGCTTGCTAGAGAGTCTCCAAAAAAAAAAAAACACTTTTAGAAGTCCGTACAAGCTCCGTTTCTCAGTCATCATGATTGGAACAAACTTCAAGTGACTAGATTGTATGTACACTTCCGATATTTGTATGTATTTCACAGACTTTTTTGGTGTCATGAGTACTTTAAATAGTCATGAATAGTGCAAAGGGAGCATGATCGTATCCAGAACCGTTCCTATCTTTAACTGTATAGGTGAGGATCAGTAACAGACAGTGTTACTCTTCCGGGTAGTTTTCGCGTATACAAGAACGTAGATTTGCCCAGTATTGTTTTGGATAAAGCACGTTTCTGGATACAGCAAACATCGTTTTGTGTCATTAAACGTTTTCGCAGTCTAGTAAAAAAAGGGAAATTTTGGGGCTAAAGACGTTTCTTTTTGTAACTATCATCTTTTCTTACATCTTTGATTGCAATCAGGGCAGTAAGGAAACATTCATTTGTTTTAGTCATCTACTTAGAAAATAGAATGTGCCAATAAATATACCTATGATTCAGATGATACTTTTTTATGAAATCTCATTCCCGATCTATTATAATAACTTGTAGTAACAGATAAAAAAACTGAAATTGGCTGCCCACCAGTATCTTAGCGTTCTCTTAATATATAATATCTGATTTCTAAGTGATGTGAACATGGAATTCTTTTTTCAATTCACCAGGATATAAGAACATCGGAAGTTCTCCGAGGATGTTGACCACGAACACAGCCGAAGTTGTAACCGAAGAGGACTAATAATGACGACAACAAACGGACAAACACACGACAATGATATGGAACTATAATGAAAGCGTATTTCATTTATCTTATTGCCGTCTTGTAGATGCACCTATATATTACTCTTATTTCCAGTCATTTTCCTTAAAACACTGATATTATAATCATTTCCATAATATAGAAGATATATCATTTCTTTGTTTAAACCTATTATACACCTTTCCTGATGTATTTATACGCATTGCGATGTTAAGATTTTACTACAATGACCGGAATAGATAATCTATTCGACTACAAACTTATCAGAACATATTGAAATTTATGTAAAGTTAAAGTTGACCTTGATTATACCCCTTTAAATTGTCCAATTTTACCTTAACAATTTCTAATGTTAACACTTGAAAGAAATCATTTGGAATAATCATTTTTAATCGAACTTTTGTTACGAATTGTTGGAATTTATACATAACAAATTATATCATATTCAAAAATAATATATAATAAATATATTGATGTTATTGTTCTGTTAGATTATTCTCATATCTGTTTCCTCCATTGCTTCATAGAGATTCACTGCAATAAAATTGGCATCACCTGATATTTTGATATCCATGTGTTATTCATGTTCTTTATTACTTTGTACTAATCATGGAACTAACGCATCGTAGTGCATCCATGGGGTAGAACAAAAGAAAACAAGAGTTCTGAGATCTCATACCTCCGAAATATGGGCTTGCTTTGTCATACTTTATCATGTCCTCATTAATTATGCGAACAACATCTACATTTACATAATATATGCACAGTGGTGCATATATTTAAGTAACTAACACATGTCACGAGGTATAAAATTCTCATCATTCGCCAATAAGGAGTCGCAAAATGTTCACATTAGTTATGCAAATTAGGTCACCATTTGCATAATTGGTATCTGTTGATGTTCCGCCTGCCACAGATTAAATAGATTACATGTATAGCAGTACCATTATATAAAACAGGGAGGCGACAAAAATATCCACCAAAAGCATGATCTTTATTCATCTTTAATAATTCTACATTGATTTCTACAAATTATCGTAAGGAAACCTTTACATCTGTAGACTGTTTCGCACATTGTATTAGTACTTTCTTTTTGTCTGAATTGTCCTTCCGTAAATATTAATGCAACTTCTAATATCACATTAGATCCAAAAGCAATGCAAATTTGAAAAAATAAGGAAGTCATCTACTACGAGCTAAACAATGTTTTTAGAAATATTTTCCGTACCTCTATATTTACTTGAGCGGAATTAGAAATTGAAATCTACACAAAGAAAGTATATGTTAAAACGCTTTAAAGAACAAAATAATATGATCGTACTAAGCAACAAATTCTTAATTAGTATAGTAGATATGATCATGGTCAACGTATAGATTGTACATGTAAATGAAAAAAATTCTAGCAGCGAACTTTAAACATTACAAAGAACAAGATAATATGATCGTTCTAAGCAAAATAATTAATTATTATAGAAGATATGATCATGGTCAACTTGGTATAATAGATTGTACATGTAAATTGAAAAATATATTTTCTAGCATTGAACTTTAAACGCTTAAAAGAACAAAAGAATATGATCATACTAAGCAAAACATACTTAATTACATGCAGTGTAGAAGATATAACCATTGTTAACTTGGTATAGATTGTACATTCAAGTGAAAAAAAGCTTTTGTAGCAGTGAACTTTAAACGATACAAAGAACAAAAGAATACGATCTTACTTAGCAAAAAATACTTAATCATTATAGAAGATATGATCATGCTCAAGTTGGTATAGAATGGAACATGTGAATAAAAAAGAAATTGTAGCAGTAAACTTTAAACGCTACAAAGAACAAAAAATATTACCATATTCTTATATACAAGTAAGCAAAGAATACTTATTTTGATAGAAGATATCATCATGGTCAAACTGGTATAGAGTGAATAAATATTATGTAAACGAAAACAAAAACTTTTGTAGCAATTAACTCTTACTACAAATAACAAAAAAATGACGTGGGGTCGTGTGGCGTATTGGTAGAGTGTTCGACTCGGAACTAAGAGGTCCCGGGTTCAAGTCCTGACATGCTACAGATCTTTTTCCCCTGGAAAAGGCACTTTACACGACTTTCCTTACTTCGCTCGGGTAAAAATGATTATTGTATTGTCCTCTGTGTTGATGCTGGTATTAATGTAAGTGGAAAAAACTTGAGTTTGCCGTCACCACCTCTTGTGATTACATGTTTGAATATAAAAAATATCATCGTATTAATTAAAAATACTTAATTATTATAGAAGATATGATCATGGTCAACTTGATGTAGATTGTACATGTAAATGAAAAACAACTTTTGTAGCAGTCCCAATCCTTAAGTATCTCACTAATAATCTTTAAGATTTTAAACGTTAGATCGTCTTCACTTGGTAGGAATCATGATGAATATAGGTAAGAAAACACTAATGGCATTTTTTTTTATATTTAAAACTTCTAATCGTTTAATAGGTTTTCAAATAATTTACCACTATTCAAATTGATTTTTATAGTTACGACTTCATTCTTTGCTCGTTCAAAATGCATCATGGATGGTATTGTTAAATTAAAAACACTTTCCTTATCAATTTAACAAATAGACAAGCTTGTTTTATTCCTCAATAATATGAACTGTATTAAAATGAAGCAGTGATTACACAAAACAACCAACGTTTCAGTTAGATTAACAGTCACGTAACACTAACAGCAAATGCAGCAGATGGCTTCACCACTTCCCCCGTGCGAAAAATTGATCCATACCCTTCCCGCTCAAATTGACTGTTTCTAAATCACCCCTTTCCAAAATATGAAGTGTTCCAATAGTCTATGCCCCAATACAGCAATGGAATCTTCCAATGTCTTCTGCATGCTGTTTGAACATGTAGAACCCTGGTCGAACCCGAGTGTTCTATTTTGATCTGTCAGTTGGGGATATGGATTTTTAAGCTACAATGGCTGTGTTCATTCAAAATAAGGTAAATACAAGTATTTTAAAGGATTGAATCTAAATAGTAAAAACTATAGTCTAAGCATTTGGTGCCAAGCTACATTTATGGTGAATTGGTTTTCTTTAGCACATCGAAGCCAGAAAATGTACATTTTTGGTAAAAAAAAACAACAAAAGACCAATATTACGTGATTTTAAAGTGTCAAACGCCAAAAGCATTCAAAACGGTCTGTGGGATTGTGTTTAAGGACCTCCCATACCAAATGTCAGTACATTATGGCACAGGATTTTGGTCCGAAAATAGCCAAAAAGCCCCATATTTATACATATTAAAACTTTTTATACATGTGTCCAAGGTATCGTTATACCAAAGTTCAGGTAGTTTGGATTAAAGATTAGGAAACAGCATCCATTTACATTTACATTATTGTCCTAAAATATCCAAAAAGCCCTATGTTACACAATTTCAAATTGCCTTGAAAACCATGCTGTAAACTTGTGTCCAAGGTATCGACATACTAAATTTAAGGAAATTTAGTTTTATTACCAGGGCACCAGATCTCAATTTTTTTTTTTTGCATTAAACCTCCCCCCCCCCCACAAAAAAAATTCAAGCACTTAACGTAAAAAAAAAATCTCAATTATAGTGCAGAAATCAATAGAACACAATCTTGTAGACCTCGTTTGCCCCGGGGCCTCCCTTACCGTCCGGTAAACAGGCGGTAGACGGGCCGAACTTCTGGTAAGTCTGCAGGGCATTGGCAGACGAAGCGCACCATCCGCCATTCTAAACACGGAGTGCAGAAAGGGCAAAATGAAAAAAAATAAGTCCGAAATGAACTAACAGAAAGATGAAGCAAAAGTAAAAAAAAAAAAAACATCGAATAGTAGACAACACATAAAGGGGAAATGAATATTCCATTAAAAAGAAGAAAAATAAATCCAATTATAAGTAACACCCTTTTCCCTTTGTCTATCATGAAAGTTCATCTGTGTTGGTAGTTATATGTTTTAGGTTAAAACTTTTGGTCCAACTTAAAATAGATTCTCTCACCTAGAGCTTTCCACCTGTCACTCTGGTCTTCCTCAGTAGGCTGACCCAGTGAAGCTTGTCACGTGGCTTCTTTGAAAGGTGACGTCAACACTGGGGTCAACATTGAACCGCGACGGGGGCCGACATCGTCTACCAGATACCTTTAAGCATTGTTGACGTCACAATTTAAAGAAGCCACGTGAGAATTTTTTTGTGTTGGACCAAAAGTTTCTTTCTTTGTGTTTAGTCATTTACAACGTATGTTTTATAATGAAGGCAGTCTTTTTGCCAAACACAATTTTTATTTGCACGCTCGCATTAGTTTTTAGGTTACCATATGATGGTATACATTTGATCAAATCAACATGGCCTAAGGCGTACCTGGACAGCGAACACGGTGTATCCTCTGTCTGCGGCAGCGTCCCGACACTTCCTGATGGCGTCAGTACGTGCATGGTAATTACTTCCGTCTAGGATGGGGTCTAGACCTTCCAGTGTCGGGATGGCGCGGTCCATAGTGTCCCTCCAACATCCGAGACGCTGCAGCTGACTACAGGCAGTCTCAATCATCAGGGAACCTAACAGGTAGGTGTATATCGGTTGTACGTTCTTAAGGAATAACTTGCATATCCAAATGAAAAAAAAAACCGTTACGCTAGGTTCAACTAGCGTTTCTTTTTATAACGATAAAGTGGCTATTGTCTCCCTGGATAACCTAATTTTTTAAACATACAATTTAATTCCAGAACAACCTGTAATCGTATTTTCTGTCTTTCCGAACACAAGAGCTATCAACGATCTAAAATTTGTGACCTTCACATCACAAGATCACTTAGATCAGGAAATCCTGCTACGGAGCTATAACAACTCGCCAAGGGGCCCAAACCCTTATTATTTCGAGGGTAAAACCAAATTACAAACACAAACACAAACACACACACACACACACACACACACACACACACACACACCGACGCTACAAA